TGAGTGTGAGTGTGAGTGTATCACCTTGTGACTGTTCTACAATCACACGTAACGTCCAGTAAGGAATCAATACAATTTCATCGACCCCCTCTCTCATCCCTCTTTCCTTCCATCCTGCATTTTTACAAATATCCCTTTCAGGGCAAGTAAGTTCCCCCTCCCCCTTCTGTTACCCTCCTTTCTTAACCCTCGTTTCCAACTTCCCGTTCAATAACAAGAGCAGTTTTTTTTTTTTTTTTTTTTTACGTTCTAGACTCTTTATGTTCTTGTCATTCACCTCTATTTGGAATATTTGTTTTTTGTGTTTTTCCTGCATGGTAAACGGTTGCAGCAGAGGAAAATGTGGGAATTTATTTTCTAAATATAAAAAACCTCTCCTTTATTGGTGTGCTTGGTGTACCAGTGGTTTGGCTATATCTTGATATGTGGTTTCCTGAACTTCTGTTTGTAGATACACAGACTGTGCTGAACCGAATACCTCAGATGCAAGAAGAAGCACTGAAAGGAGAGTAACACTTACAATAACAGACGCAATAATCTTTACAAAGGTTAGCCATCCATCATTACACATTGTTGAAGCAAAACTACCATAAAACGTTAAACAGTTAATACTATTTGTAGCAGTGATTATGCCTTGATTGAGGTACGATGGTATTCCAACCAGAACAAGAAACCACGCGAGGTATACTATTAATAGAGGAGTCATGAATTGCTTTATTCTCAAACTACTGTTTAAGAAAATCATACTGAACCCTAAGACAGTTGTTACGAGGCCATAGTTAAATGCGGTGCTAAAATATAAAGAAATGGATAAAGTTATACTTGCAAGGGCGGTGACAAAAGTTAACAGTTTCATTGTGTCTTGAAAGGAAGAAACAACAGCCTTCTTTAACATATTCCGTGTAGCGAAAATTGTTGAAAAAAGCACTAAAATGAAAAGAATAGGCATTCCAATTCCGTTCATTTTGTCAGCACTACGAGCTGTCGAGTTCTGATTAAATGGTGACATGAGTACTCTAATCTTTTATTTTGACCTATGACCTTTTTTTTCTCTTTTTTTTTTTTTCTTTTTTAATGCTTTCCTTGTCACAACTCAGGATGAGAATAGATAGATGTATATATATATATATAACCTTTCTTGAAGCTAAAGAAATAAAAAAGAATAGAATAGGTAGGAAAGGAATGAAAAAAGCAAATTTGGATTAAGATACAGTAATATTGGTGGTATGCCGATTAGTAGTGAGAGTTGTAAAACAAAAAAAAAGGAAACAAAAAAACCATGTTGTAAATGGAAGAAAAAATAGGCTAAAGGAGAGCTCATAGAAAACGTTGCGATGGTATGTTGGTGTCTGTAGTGTGAGGATATGTGTCAGTAGTAATAATTGTATTCTCCCGTGTAAAAAAAAAAAAAAAATGTGTGGATTTTGGTGGTGCAGAGAAAAGAGGCATAAGAACAGCAAATTCATAGCGCTGTTTCTGATAAATTTAAACGGATTACAGAACAAGTCAAAAGAAAGAAGAGGACATAAGAAAAAACACTATATGCACATGTACGGAAACCCATATGTGTAAACATATTACACACATAAGTACAGATATTTATACATACATATATATATAGACCATCCCCTGGGCACTATAATCCTTCGTCTTTCGTGCGTTCTTGTTTCTGTTTTTTTTTTCCCTCTTTCTTTCTTCTTTCGTTTTTTTTTTTTTTTTGTTCCTCCTTTTCATCTATTTCTGCTCTACAAAATGACAGACACCACACACGCGCTCTGTACCTCCTTTTTTTTTTCTTCTGGTTGAAGAAAAAACAACGTGGAAATATATATAAATAATATTTATTTCACTTTTCGATCTTTTTTTTTCTCATTAATTTTCTTTTCCTTTAGTATGCGTTTCTTTTTTTTTTTTTTTTTTCCTTCTCTTGATCATTTCATACCCAACCATTTACTATCGCTTGCATTTTTTTCTTTTATATATATTTCCTTTTCCATAAACATATTCAATTTACGCCTTTTTTTTCTCTCTTTTTCGTTTGTTCTTCAATATTTTACTTCATTTTGTATTTTTTATACTCATTCTTTACTTTCTTTTATATATATATATATATATATATATTCCTGCTTAAAGACCCCCTTCCCACCCCCTTCACTGTATACAAATGTAGGGAGATACGTGCACACACATTAGATGTATGTCTTTCTTTAAAGCACATTGAAAGATATTCCCTCTTCTTTTTTTTTTTTTTTTCTCCCCGCTTTACTTTACTTTTTTTTAGTTCTTTTCGGTTTGCTCCTTCCCTGTCGGGATTTCTCTCTCTTTCCTTCTTTCTCGCCGACATGGAGCTAAAGTAAAACGTGGAGTGAAGTGTGAGAGACGCCCCACCCACAAGTCGATCAAGTAGAAGCGAAGAAGATGATGGGGGGAAACAAATTATTAAAAGAAAACAAGAAGAAGAAATTTTTTTTTTTTGCTGTTATTATTGCTTTTTTTTTTTCCTTTTTTCTTTTTTCTGAAAGACAAATAAGATAATAGAGACCGTAAGGGTTTGGTGTTCCTAGTCACACCTATTGTCATTTTTTTTTTTTTTTTCGTTCTGTTCTATTCTGTTGTTTTTTTTTTATTTTTTGTTTTTTGTTTTTTTTTGTTTTCTCATTTTCTCACTTTTTTTTTTTTGTTGTTTGTTTGATCTCATGAAGTAACGTGAGTATACTGGGATATCAAGAGCAAAGGGGGGAAATAGAAATATGCCCTTTCCAGATCTACCACAATAATAACAATAATAACAATAATGACAGTAGTAGTAGTAGTAATAATAATAATAATAATAATAATAATAATATAGGTATGAAAAAAAAGAAAAAAATGAGTGCAAAAGAGAGGAGAGAAATAGATAGTGTGAAAGAGAAAAAGAGCAAAAAAAAAAAAAAAAAAACTGATGCGCGCAGTGCTGCCATTCGGATTCAATACTCATCTCTCTCTATGAGGAAGCAAGAAAACGTTACTATAATAGCAACAAGACTGACAACACTAATTATTACAATATTAACTAAAATAGTTATATATATATATATATATATATATATATAACATCGCACAAGGTTTTAGCTTCTTTCTTTATTTCTTTCTTTCTTTCATTCTCTACAACTTCAGTTCCACTATCAGTATTCCTCTCCCATTACCACTACACTCCATTTACAACAGAAAAGGAAAAAGAAAAACTGGTGTCAGGGGTCCATCATAGCAACAAAACTACTATGATAGATCGTATTATATATATATATATATATATATATATATATATATATACGTAATAGACTCTCCGTATACATACCACATCGTACTGATATCACAACACACCAACACAGGATATAATAAAAGAGAGAATAATAGGAATAAATCTGTAGATACATACTTTATTTCAATTTAATAAAACAGAAAAAAAAAGAACACACGATCCACAGCAAAAAAAAAAATCCCTTAAAGGCAAGAAAAAAAAAAAAAAACGGTGAAAAATCAGGTAGAATAAACAATAAAGGGATAAAATAATTTTTTTTTCTTTTTTTTTCTTCTTTTTGAAACCTTCTGTTGATATCGTATTTAGAGAGAGAGATCCATCTGTGTGCAATGCCGCGATATTCTTTTCGTTCTTTCTTTCCCATTTATTTTACTTATTCCTCTTTCCTTTTGCCTTATTATTCTCCTCCCTTCTCAGTTCACAGCGGTGGGAAACGAAAAAGTAAAACTCCGTCTCTTTTTTCTCTTTCTCTCTTTCTCTCTCTCTCTTCAATGCCTCTTTTTCTCTACAATGAAGACACATGAGCAGAGTTCCACAACCCGCCAGGAATCATCTTTCACCCAATGTTAACAACCGTAATAAGCCGAGAATAGGGTGAAGGACAAAGAGAAAAAAAAAAAGAAAAAACAAAAAAAGAAAAAGGTTGTATTTATCCCACATCACACCAGATACATAGGAAGACCAGAAAAAAAAAAGACAAAAGAGAGAGAGAGAGAGAGAGAGAGAGGGGGGAGAATAAAGAGCGCAGACTCAGGAAAGAGTGCCATGCAAAAAAAAAAAAAAAAAAACATAAAAAAAAAAGGAGGGGGGAATTTGGACAATGGGTGTAGACATCGAACATGCTAAGTTGCAAAGAAATAGAAATACCACGGTGTAAGAGAACGCAAGAAAACAATAAAAAAAAAAGAAGATTCGAATCATTCCCTTATTTATTTTTCTAATTACAAGAAGAACAACAACAAAAAAATTGCGTGGTTTCTCTCATATATATATATATATATATATAACATTATCGTCAACGAAACATGACGAAAACATGAAGCAATAAAAAGATCAGACAATAATCAGAAGAGGTAAATAAAGTGGACAGAGGGGGGGGGGGAATAAAGATGTAAGGAAGGAAGGAAGGAAGGAGACTAATACTAGCAAAGAGAAAACCCCACAAGAAAAAAAAAGAAGGGAAAGGGATAGGAGAAGGGGGGAACTAAATGTCAAGAAAAATCTGAAACGAAAAGACCCCCATTCACCCCACGTGTAAAGCTAACTTTTCCCTCCCAACACCACCACTCAACACGGAGTAATATATATATATATATATATATATATATATATATATATATA